TTGATGGGGGTGGGAGGGAGGGGAGGGTGGGTGATGAGTATTGAGGAGGGCACCTGTTGGGATGAGCACAGGGTGTTGTATGGAAACCAGTGTGACAATAGATTTCATATTAAAAAAAACCTTTTTAAATGTATGTAGTTCCTTGGCATTAAGTACATTCATATTATTGTGTAATTATGGGCAGTATTTATCCCTCAAATATCCATACCATTAAATAGCCTTTTGTTAGGGCGCCTGGGTGGCTCAGTCGGTTAAGTGACCGCCTTCAGCTCAGGTCATGATCTCAAAGTCTGTGGGTTTGAGCCCCACATCGGGCTCTTGGTGACAACTTGAAGTCTAGAGCTGGCTTCAGATTCTGTGTCTCCCTCTGTCTCTGCCCCTCCCCTGCTCACACTCTGTCTCTCTCAAAAATAAAATCAAAACCAAAAAAAAATTAACAAAAAAATAGTCTTCTGTCATGTAGTTTTATTGAGTGCAGTATTTCATCTTATGACAATGTTCTCATTTGCTTACTCAATTAGATATTTTGCATGAATATTATAGTGATGAATATCAGTGTACTCATTCACCATACCTCTATTGAATACCTGTTATTAGCTAAATCCTGTTTCTGTCCTGTGAATGCTGTGGTGAATATGCAAATTAAGACAAACACACACATTAGAATTCATCATCAGAGTGGCCTTACGGCTGTGGAAAGTGCATGAAGGAGAAATGCATGGTGCTTTGAGAGTCAAACAAAAGACCGTTGATCTACAAAAGAGCATTGATCTGTCAGGAGAACAAGAAATACTCTCTCCAAAGGCATACTTTCAGGAAAAGTCAGAGTTTTCAAAACAAAGTGGGCAGAAAAAGGTGTTTCGGGCAGGGGAATAAACATATACCAAGGGTTAAGAAAGACATCTGCCAGGTTTCTGCACATTCACTTATTCACTTTTTTAATTCTTTTTTTCCCCTTACATTTATTTATTTATTTATTTATTTATTTATTTATTTATTTATTTACCTACCTACCTACCTACCTACCTACCTACCTAGAGAGACAGAGCACAAGTTAAGGAGGGGCAGAGAGAGAAGGAGACACAGAATCTGAAGCAGGC